GCCCACAATCTGGGCATGTGTTCTGGCCGGGAATCAAACCGGCGACCTCTTGATGCATGGGTCAATGCTCAACCACTGAGCCACACCGACCGGACTCCATTTTATTAATATACCATAATTTCTAATACCATTTTACTGTTGATAGGCATCTGGGTTGTTTCCATTATTTATTACTAACAGTATAATTACTTTGTTTTTGTTTAGTTTTTAAATATGTTTTTATTGATTTTTTAGAGAGAGAGGAAGGGGGAGAGAGATAGAAACATTGATGTGAGAGAGAAACATCGACCATCTGCCTTCTGCATGCCCCCCACTGGGGATCGAGCCAGAAACCCGGGAGGGAGGGAAAAGCATCGATTTGAAAAATATATGAAATGGTTGCCTTCCACATGTGCCCTGACCGGGAATCGAACTGGGACCTCTCAGTCCATGGGACTGATGCTCAATCCACTGAGCCACACTGGCTGGGCTGTGATTGCTTTATTTATTGCTGGTTTATAGAAATTTAATTTTGATTTAGTTTGATAATATTTTAAGGAATGTTCACATCTGTGTTGAGTGTGTTTGGCCTGTAATTTTCCTATTTTGCAGTGATATTTTGGGATTTTGCTATCAAGGTTATTTTTCATAAAAGGAGTTAGAGTGCTTCCCCCTCTTTTGTCTCTTCTATAATCTGGAATAGTTTGTGTAACATTGGAATTACTTGCATATTTGATATTTGGTGGAGTTTGCCTATAAAACCATTTTAGATTTTCGAGGGAAGATTTTAAGCTGTTGCCTGTCTTTTCCCAAGTATTTTCCCCCAAATCCTACCTCTATAAATCCCAACTGTTCAGAATATTGGCAAATGAAATACCTCAAAATGAAGTTTCCCAGCTCTCATGGGAATTCCTTGCTTTCTTATTTATAATACATTGTACCGAATTTTATATTTCACTGTTACTCAGCACTAACTGATGGAATATGTCCTTGTTCTCCACTAGATTGAATATTCCTTGATTCCTTGAAAGCATTTCTTTTATCTTGTCATAATGTTTTTTGTTTTATTTTAAATCTTAGGCCTAGCAGAATATTTGCTACATAATTTATCAAATAAGTGGTTTTGCTTGCATTAAATTATGTAAAGAATAAATGAAGAAACTCAAAACTTAAAATTGCTGTTCTTTAGGTATCAAATTTGTTCTTAGCCATGTATACTATCATGAAGTTTCAGTCATCTGTTCTTACAATGAGAAATCAGAAATGCTAGTTATAAAGTAAGGACAGAAAGTTGATTTTCAAAATACCAAAAATTTCATGATTTAATCTGTTGGAATTTTAGAGATTAACTGACCCTAAAATATTATCTTGTATTCTAGTCAGTTTGAAAATCAATGTAGTAAATTGTGTACAGCTGAATAATTTTATTGAGTAGGGTTGGCGGGTATACTTCTGTTATGCCAACAGTTACTTTGGTACTTCTAAAATTGTGATGTAAAAATGGCATTGTCATGGAAGCAGTTAGCAGAGCAATCATTTTAAAAAAAGTCTGTTAGTCAGAACATAAACTGACACTGTAATTAATTTTGAAATGGCATAGTGAATAGACTTGTGAAACTAGCAATTTATTAGGCTTTTTTTTTATCCTCACCCGAGGACATTTTTCTATTTTTTGTTCAGATAGAGTGGGAGGGAGAGAGAGGAAGAGAGAGAGAGAAAGAAACATCGGCGTGAAAGGGACACATCTAGTGGCTGCCACCCCCACAACCAACCAGGGCCGGGACAAACTGCAACCGAGGTACGTGCCCTTAGTGGGAACCGAACCCAGGTCTCTCAGGACCGCAGGCCGATGCTATAACCACTGAGCCAAACCAGCCAGGGCTATTAAGCTTTTAATGATACCCAAACCAAAGATTGAGGGGGCTGTGTATGTTGCCTTTTACTGTGTGTTTTAGAAGCTTTTTCTTTTCCTTGATGTTTTACTACTAAATTTTTTTTCCTAAAAATGTTTCTTATTGATTTTTAGAGAGAGAAGAAGGGAGAGGGAGAGAGAAATATTGATGTGAGAGTGAAACATCCATCAGCTGCCTCCTGCATACCCGCTATCGGGGATCAAGCCTGGAACCCGGGCATGTGCTCTGACTGGGAATCGAACCAGCGACCTCTTGGTGTATGGGTCAGTGCTCAACCACTGAGCCACACTAGCCGGGCTCTTCCCTCTTTATCCAGATAACTCAGGAATATCTTATGATTGTTAGGACTCAGACTTTCTCAAATTGTTGTGTGCATAAGAATCTCTTGTGCATAAAAGTCATTGACATTTCATAGCTGTGCCCCACCCCAGATTCTGTAATATTATCCATCTCCAAGTGATTTTGATGCTGGTGATCTTGGACCAAACTTGAAAAAGCCCAAATAGAGCCAGAGGCATCGCTTGGAAGGCCCACATTTGCTTTATTGGATTTTGTAACTTGGCTGTGGCTGCATTTGTTGTTCTTTTTTTTAAATTTAAGTACATGGAAATTTTTCTGCAGCAGTAAGTGCCTGAATTATTCTCAATGTTTGTTTATAGCCCCAGTGACTGGTTCATAATACAAGCTTGGTAGCAGATTATTTTCCCACTAATTCGGCATTTGCCACAATAAATATATTTGCTGTCAACTCTCTAGATATTTTCTTGGCTTTCTAGAGAGTTTTTTAGTTACTTTTCTCTTTATTTTCATCTTGTAAAACATAAATTTTTATTTGAGTACCTTTAAACCAGTGCTACCTGGCACAATTTTTCCCTATAGGAGACATTTGGCAGTTCCTAGAGACATTTTTGGTTGTCACACTGGAGACAGTATGGTGTGTAGAAGCCAGGGATGCTGTTAAACACCACAAAATAGCCCCTTACAACGAAGAATGTTAGTATTGCTGAGGTTGAGAAATCCTGCTTTAAAATATATACAATCATGTGATTATGCTGGGGGCAGCATATTTTTCCCCATGTGATATATTGGATGAACATTTTGATGTTGCAGGAATTATAAATGCGGATGGAGAGACCAGTAAATAGTTAAGACTTGATTTAAAAAGCTAATTTGTTTCTTTACCCTGTCTTGTGTAACACCCTGTGGGTTAATTTACTGCTCATATAGTTTACAAAGATAAGTAAAAGGTTGCTTATCTGATAGCCTTCTGATCTTAGGTCATTTGCTATACCCATGGCCACTTTCCCTACTTTATTTATTTAAGATTTTTAAAATTGGTTTTCCAAAAGAGAGGAAGGGAGAAAGAGAAACATTGATGCAAGAGCAAAACATCAGTTGGCTTTCTCCTGTGTGCCCCTCCAGGCCACCCAGGAATCAAACCCCCCCTCAGTGCACAGTACCACACCCAACCAACCAAGCCTCACTGGCCAAGGGCCATTTTCCTTACCTTTGATTGTTAAAATTTCTTTCAGCTGTTAACGTCAGTAACATCTACAACATTGTTTTTCCAACTGCAAGTTGTGACCCAGTAGTGGGTTGTGAAATAGTGTAGTGGATGAAAAATCAAATATGATAGGAAAATAACACTGCATCACATATAGTTAGCATTGTTTTATGACAACTATTTTAATTATGTAGGGAAGGAAAATTTATTTTTTCTAATTTCCTAGGTTATGTGGTTGGGGCCCTGTAGATTGGACTGACAAAAGACAGGTTAACAAGAGCAAAACAGAAGTTTACATTTATACCTGGGAACACTCAGAGATGAATAATATTGGGGTTGGTTAGAATTTGGCCTTATATAACAGTTTCGCAAAGGACCAAAACTATTTAGAGACGTGACAAGACTGAGTTTCTAGGGCTCAAATTGTGGGAAGGCCAAATATTTGGGAAACTAGTAAAGTTTGTTACATAGGTTCCTTTGGTGCCATATCCAGGCTGATAAGGGTCTAAAGTTATCTAGGAGATTAACTTTTGTCCTTCCTGGTAAAGAATTAAGGAGGTGGAAGGAACTTAGATAAATTTCTGTCCTGTTTTTATGCAAATAGGGAAAAGACAGAGCTTTTCTTTTTTCTGCTTCTTAGTTGTTTTCAACTCACAGTAGTTCTTATAGTGGCATATTTTGAGGCCCCCACAGTATCTATGCATGCATGTGCTGGGTCATGATGTAACAACAGTCCTTGCTGTGGATTACAGTAGAAAACAAAATGGAAAATTACTGATTCCAATAAATTGCAAAAGCAATATGAACTGCATGTTTCATAGTTCTTGAAACAAGCTAAGATTTTATTTATTGACTTTGGGAAGCAACAATCTTATTTCAGGTTTCGATTAGAAAATTTTTGCTTTGTACTGTCAGGTAATTTTTGAATGTGTTTTGAAAATTTGTAAGACCTCTGATAGAATAAACACTGAATTTGACAACTTTTTTGCATTATAATTCTCTTTCATTAAAGATTATTGTTTACAGCCCTGGCCGGTTTGGCTCAGTGGTAGAGTGTCAGTCCGCAGACCAGTGAGTTGCGGGTTCGATTCTGGCCAAGGGCATGTACCTCGGTTGTGGTTCATCCCCAGCCCGGTTGGGCTCATACGGGAGGCAACCAGTTGATATGTGCCTCTCACATTGATGCTTCTCTCTCTCCCGCACACTCTATCTGGAGATAAAGAGAAAAATATCCTCAGGTGAGGATTTAAAAAAAAAAGATTATTGTTTACATGTGCATTATGTGTCAGAAACAACAATGCCCTAATCATGAAACTTCTATTTAAGAAATGTCAGTCTGATGAAAGTTAAACAAAATTGGTATATTTTACTGTCTTAGACTATTCAATTAAACATTAATTTGGTTAACAACTAATTAGAAACTGCTTTCATTACAATGTTAACAGAGTTTTCTATCTTCTATAAAAAGCTAACATTTCAGAATACATTCAAACGCCTTACCTGGAATTTTTGAGTTCATTTAATTGAGACTTATGTACCTAAGTTGACAGATTTTAATTCTATACTAAAATATTTAAGATTAATTCTAGTGTAATTTATTTCAGATTAAATTTAGTGGAAGCTTTTGTAGAAGATGCAGAATTGAGACAGAGTTTACAAGAAGATTTGCTTCGTCGATTTCCAGATCTTAACCGACTTGCTAAGAAATTTCAGAGACAAGCAGCAAACTTACAAGATTGTTACCGACTCTATCAGGGTATAAATCAACTCCCTAATGTTATACAGGCTCTGGAAAAATATGAAGGTAACACAATAATTTTGTTTTTGTTTTCCTTCACTATCGATATACTTAGCAAATGTGCTGTCCTTATAGAACAAATGTGGTTCTGGTGACTAAGTTTTTCTAATAAGTGGTTTATAAGTCATGAGACAACTTAGGATTTTTGCTTTTTAGAAATGAATGTTAGGGTTACTGGGTTTATTAATAGGCCTATTAAACCCACAATGGCAGTTGAACAGGGCTCAATTGCTACAAAAGACTCATAGGACCCAAAATGAGAGTGCTTACAAAATTATAGTTTGCTCTAGGAAAAGGATATAATCTAACAGTAGCACTAAAGTAAACATGTATGCATTATAGCTAAAGGCCATCATAGCAAGGTGTCCAGAGAGGTCATGTGCAGGTTCCCATTGTCCTTCCTTGAAAGGTCTATGGTGAGATACACTTTCTTTCTCAAATCAGTTACTACCAATGTGTGAAGAGCATCTCAACCAGGGAGCCTAAAATGGAGTCTTGGCTGGGCTTTTTATTTTTTCATTTTTTGTGGTACGTGCCCCTCGTGGGAATCGAACCCAGAACTCTCTGGTCCGCAGGCCAGTGCTCAACCACTGAGCCAAACAGGCCAGGGCAGCTGGGCTTTTTAATATTTATTTTATTGGCCCGACCGGTGTGGCTCACTGGTTGAGCATTGACCCATGCACCAAGAGGTTGCCGGTTCGATTCCTGGTCAGGGCACATGCCCACATTGTGGGCCCAATCCCCAGTATGAGGCATGCAGGAGGTGGCCAGTCAATGTTCTGTCTTATCATGTTTCTATCTCTCCTTCTCTCTCTTCCTTCCACTCCCACTAAATCAATAAAGAAAAAAATATTATTTTATTGGCCTCATGGGCATAATCCTGTCCTGTATCTAGTTTCTCCAGCAGAGCCTCCTGGGGTTCTCTGTTTCTCTCTCTCTGTCTCGCTCTCTCACCTTTTCTCCTTCTCTCCCTCTTCTTTCATCTCTCTAAAATCAATAAAAACATCCTTAGATAAGGATTTAAAAAAAAAAAAAGGAATCATTGTCCTCAATAAAATGCTTGAAATGTGAATAAAAATTTATGTTGATGGCCCAGCCAGTGTGGCTCAGTGGATTGAGCATTGTTCCATGGACTGAGAGGTCCCGGGGCGGTCAGGGCACATGTCCGGGTTTTGGACTTGATCCCCAATAGGGGGCCTGCAGGAGGCAGCTGATCAATATTTCTCTCTTAGGTGGATATTTCTACCTCTCCCTCTCTTAAAAAAAATCAATAAAAAAATAAAGGAGCTACTGATATTTCTGGAAGAGGTTAGGAACTATTGCTTAGCAGTGAAATACAGAGTGCTGGAGGTCACTTGCAGAATTCTTATAAGGAAATACATGGTAATTGTTGGATTTCTGTTAAGTGTGAAGCACTATGTTAAATGTTGTCTATAGTTACCTCATTTATTCATCTTCTGGTAGCTATTGTTATTATTCCCACTATAATAGAGAAGGAAAGGGGGGGCTCAGTAACATGCTTCAGATTACAAAAGCTGGTAGGTAACTGAGCTGGGATTGGCATCTAGGTTTTGATTCACACTTTTCACAATGTAGACTTTTTTACTTCACTTACTCCCCACATAATTTCCCAGCATGCACTTTGTTTTTGTTGTTGTTGTTGTTAATCTTCACCCAAGGATATTTTCCCATTTATTTATTTATAGAGTGGAAGGGGATGGAGAGAGAGAGAAAAAACATCGATGTGAGACACATTGATTAGTTGCTTCCCACACGACCCTGATTGGGGCCAGGGATGGAACCTGCAACCCATGCCATTGACTGGGAATTAAACCTGAGACCCTTTGCTCCATAGGCTGGCATTCTAACCTCTGAGCTAAACTGGCCAGGGCCCCAGCATCTACTCTTAAAAAGCAAAAAGCAAAGTTCCAGTGTAAATACTTGGCTTGATTTACTCTTTTTTAATTGGAACACTAGTATTATTAATGAAAATTAGGGATATAAAATATGTTAGAGGTATTTTATTTTAATGACTTTTGAATTATTAAATCTACAAAAGAAATGCAGTTTACTTAGTTATAATTAATGTCACATCTCTGCATCTCTAGTATTCCTAATGAGGGAGACAGACGGGAGAGGCAGTGTTTTATTAGGAAGCTTTGAGTACCAGATTATCTCCCTTTCTATAAGACAAGTACTAAACACATTTGACTACCTGGGTAAATAGTAACTTTGGAGACCTGCTGTGGTATTTGTGTTTTTGGATTAAATGATGCTTATTATCTCAGTCAAATTTCTGGGATCTGTAGTTTTGTATTTTTAAAAATACGACTTCATTTATATATATTTTTATATCTTTTAGGAAAACATCAAACATTGTTGTTGGCAGTTTTTGTGACTCCCCTTATTGATCTTCGGTCTGATTTCTCCAAGTTTCAGGAAATGATAGAAACAACTTTAGATATGGATCAGGTATGTAATATACTCTAATTCAAGCAGCAGAATATTTTTGAAAAGCAAAGGCATATCTAAACTTTTCAGATTTCTCTTTTTAGTATTTAATTTTGGCACTTTTGTGAGGCTCATTTGAGATAGTGGATGTAAAATTAAGTAATGGGAAAGATTTTTTTAAAATAACAATTTCAGTGGATAAAAATTAAGATTAAAAGAGGAAATGAATATTGGGTATAATTAGTCTGGGTAAAGGAAACCTCATAAATAAGAGATTTCACCTATGCAAGCTGAGTTTTACTTTAATTCCAAGAGAGAAGGAAAAGTATAATCACTGGAAAAGGGTAGAGGATAGAGGTAAATATGGAACATGAGAGAAGACAACTTTTTTATTTTCCACTTAGGGCATTGCTTTGGGGGAAGAGACGAGAGAGTATTATTATTCAATATTAGTGAAATTGATACCATTGTAATTAGCTAGTTATTAATAATAGGAAAGGTGTAAAGGGAAGGCCAGACATAGGCATGTCATTTGGGCAGCTTCACCAGGAAGCTGCAATTTTTCACTCTCCAAGGAACTCTCCTGGCCAATTTTCTGCAAAACACTGGGGGAAGGAATCCAACGAAGGAAAGATAAGACACATGCCCAGTCAAGTTGGGGTGGCATAAGGAAGGTACTTGCCTATGTACATCGTATTCCACCCCCCCCCCCATTGCTTACCTTTTATTTTTTTATTTATTTTTTTTTTTTTTAATCCTCACCCGAGGATATTTTTCCATTTTTTGTACAGATAGAGTGGGAGGGAGAGAGAGGAAGGGAGAGACAGACAGAAACATCGACGTGAAGGGACACATCGAGTGGCTGCCACCCGCACGACCAACCAGGGCCGGGGACAAACTGCAACCAAAGTACGTGCCCTTAGCGGGAACCGAACCCGGGTCTCTCCAGACCGCAGGCCGACGCTCTAACCGCTGAGCCAAACTGGCCAGGGCACTTACCTTTTATTTTTAATTGAGATGAAGCTACATAAAATTTACCATTTTAAAGTATAATCTTTCCTGGCATTTAGTACATTCACCATGTTGTGTAACCATCAACTCTGTCTAGTTCCAAATATTTTCATTATCACTAAAAGAAAATCCATACCCATTAGCAGTCACTTCCCTTGCCCTGTTTGCTCATATGCTGGCAACACTAATCTTCTATTTGTCTCTGTGGACTTCAATGGATATATATTTTTTTCTTTATTGATTTTAGAGAGAGAGGAGTGGAGAAAGAGAGAGATAGAAACATCAATGAGAGAGAACATTGATTGGTTGCCTACTGCATGCCCCCCACTGGGGATCTGGCCCACAACCTGGGCATGTGCCCTAACTGGGAATCGAACCGGCGACCTCTTGGTGATGGGTCGACGCTCAGCCAGTGAGCCACACCAGCCGGGCTCAATGGATATTTTTTAGAAGAATGTTTTGAGGTTCATCCACATTGTAGCATTACCAGTGCTTCATTCCCTTTTATAGTCCAGTCCATTGTATGGATATATCACATTTTGTTTATTCACTTGTTCTGGACATTTAGGTTGTTTCTGTCTTTTGGCTCTTATAAATGGTGCTGCTAAGACAGTTATGTAAAGTATTTGTGTACTTGTTTTTAATTCTTCTAAGTGTGTATGTAGGAGTGGAATTGCTATGTCATATAGTAATTTATATTTAACTTTTTGAAGAATCACCAAATTGTTTTCCAAAAAGGCTGCACCATTTAACATGTGCACCAGCAATGTATGACGATTGCAGTTTCTCCACATTGTTGCTAATACTTTTTATTTTCTTTTTTGCCTTTTTAAATAGCCATCGTAGTGAATGTGAAGTGGTATTTAATTGTGGTTTTGATTTGCATTTCCCTGTTGGCTAATGATGTTGAGCATCTAGCATCTTTTCTTGTTTGTTGACTATCTTCTCTGGAGAAATGTTTCTGCAGATAACTTTGGGTGGTGGGCACATAACGCAGTATACAGATCATATATCATAGAAATGTACACTAGAAACCTATATAATCTTATTAACCAAAGTAACCCCAATACATTTAATGGAAAAAAAAGGGAAGCCTGGCTGGTGTGGCTCAGTGGATTGAGTGTCACCCCATGCACTGAGAGGTCACCAGTTCAAATCCTGGTTAGGGTGTGTGCCTGGGTTACAGGCTCAATCCCCAGTAGGGGATGTGTGGGAGGCAGCCAATTGATGTTTCTCTCTCACATCGATGTTTCTATCTCGCTCTCTTTCTCTCTAAAAAATAAATCAATGAAAACATATTTAAAAGGGGGAAAAATTTTAAAAAATTTTTTGTCTTTGTTAATTTATAAGAGTTTTATATATATTCTGGACACTAGCCTCCTTTTCTAGAAAATAATACATTTCTTTAGGAGTTTTCCCATTGCCAAAGTTTTTCATAGTGATTACTTCCTATTTGTAAAAGTGCTGCTGTATTTGCAGATATATTCCCAGTTTATTTTTAATATAATTTGTTTGTGCCCCCATCACACTCTTCTTCCTGTTCATAATTTGTCTGTTAGACAATCAACTTGTGAACTTTTTAAAAAATCCTCATCCAAGGATATGTTTTGTTTTGTTTTCCTTAATTAATTTTAGAGAGGAAAGGGGAGAGGGAGAGAAATATTGATTGGTTGCCTTATGCACGTGTCCTCACTGGGACTCGAACCTGCAACCTTTTGGTATACTGGATGACACTCCAACCACTGACCCACCCAGCCAGGGTCCTAGTCTTTTTTAAGTAGTGTTTAGTTCTTTGCTCATGTGTTCCAGTCTCTCATATTTCTTTAAACTGTTAATATTACATATTTAAATTTTCTTGGATTTAAATCTGCTCCTTGTTTCTACTGACTGGCTTATTTCCTTGCTTGTTATGTGTGTTTAGATTATGAATTCTCATTTATCTGGGTTCTGTCTGTGCAAATTATCCAGGCAAATCATATGTTTTTCCAGAAAAGAAAATTGCTTTTGCCCTGACCAGTTTGGCTCAGCAGTTGGAGCGTTGTCCTGCGGACCAAAGAGTCCCAGGTTTGATTCCGGCCAAGGGCATGTACCTCCATTGGGATTCATCCCTGGCCCCGGTTGGGGTCATGCAGGTGGCAACCAATTGATGTTTCTCTCTCTCTCTCCCTCCCACTCTGTCTGAAGATAAATGTAAAAAATATCCGCCCTGGCCGGTTTGGTTCAGCGGTTAGAGCATCAGCCTGCGGCCCACAGAGACCCGGGTTCGGTTCCCGCTACGGGCACATACCTTGGCTGCAGTTTGTCCCCGGCCCTGGTTGGGTCATGTGGGTGGCAGCCACTCAATGTGTCCCTTTCACATCGATGTTTCTCTCTCTTCCTCTCTCTCCTTCCTGCTCTATCTGAGTAAAAAATGGAAAAATGTCCTCGGGTGAGGATAAAAAAATATATATATGTATCCTCGGGCCCTGGCCGGTTTGGCTCAGCGGTTGGAGCGTCGGCCTGCGGTACAGAGAGACCCGGGTTCAGTTCCCGCTAAGGGCATGTGCTTCAGTTGCAGTTTGTCCCCGGCCCTGGTTGGTTGTGCGGGTGGCAGCAGCTCGATGTGTCGCTTCACGTCGATGTTTCTCTCTCTCTTCCTCTTTCTCCCTCCCGCTCTATCTGAACAAAAAATGGAAAAATGTCCTCGGGTGAGGGGGAAAAAAAAAATCCACAGGTGAGGATTAAAAAAAAAGAAAATTGCTTTTGCTTTTGCCATATACCCCACAATGTAAAAAACCTAGAAACACTTTTAAGTTAATTTCTCAGCCTAGAGCTTTCTAGATTTGTTTGGATGAAGATTCAGCTGCTAAAAAATAAACCCCAAATATATAATGGTAGCTTAAATAAGAATAGGGGTTTAAAATTCTGTCAACAGTGTGGATATAGTAACTTAGGGCTGACAGAACAGTCCCACTGTGTGAGTCCTTGTGCTCCAGCATCCTTAGGATGTTGCCTTCATCTTTAAGGTCCGGGGTGGTTTTTGCTACCTTACCTTCCTTCCAACCAATGGGAGAAGACAAAACGGGAAGAGGAGGACATATTCTGGAAATGGCACACATTATTTCTGCTCACATTCTAGGAATAAACTTTTTTTTTTTTTTTTTTTTTTAATCCTCACCCGAGGACATTTTTTGTTCAGATAGAGCGGGAGGGAGAGAGAGAGAGAGAAACATCGATGTGAAGGGACACATCGAGTGGCTGCCACCCGCATGACCAACCAGGGCCGGGGACAAACTGCAACCGAGGTACGTGCCCTTAGCGGGTACCGAACCCGGGTCTCTCTGTACCGCAGGCCGACGCTCCAACCGCTGAGCCAAACCGGCCAGGGCTCTGGTCACATTCTAATGACCAGAATTTAGTCTTGCCCACATCTACCTGCAAGATGTCATCTTTGTTCTTAGTATTTATGTTTCCTGTGAAAATTTGTTAGTTCTATCACTGTAGAAGGTGGGGCTAATAGAAATGGCCAACAACCAGCAGCCTTTTCCACTGCCAAAACAAATAGCAGATGTTTGAAATCCGAACTCCAGGGAAGGCGGGCCTTTAGTCCTACTACTACCCCCACCTTCCCTTTCCCAGGATCCCAGGCAGGTTTCCCTATTTTTGCTATGTATCATGAGGTGAGTGTTTTAAATGCTTCCCCTCCCTTATGCTGTAGATTCTGTTCTTCGCAGGAATTCAGAACTCTAATTTATCTATACATTTATTTGAAAAATGCTCATATTTTATCTAGTTTCTCTGGGATAATGGAGCTTATTTTTTTTTAAGATACATAGTATTCTCCATATTTCTTTTTCTCCTTTCTAATTTAATCTCTAGCTTTCATGTGAATTTTCTGATTATATCAAGTCTTTCTATTATGTCAGTACAAGACATTTGATTCAATAGATTTCTTTGCTATGTTGTGTTCATTTATACTTAAAAAAATTTTTTTTATCCTCTTCCAAGGATATTTTTATATTTATCTTAAGATAGAGTGGGAGGGGATAGGGAGGAAGAGAGAGAGAGAAACATCGATGTGAGAGAGACACATTGATTGGTTGCCACCCGCACGACCCTAACTGGAGATGAACCGCATCCGAGGTATGTGCCCTCGGTTGGAATCGAACCCGGGAATCCTTGGTTCGCGGGCCGATGCTTTAACTGCTGAGCCAAACTGGCCAGGGCAATTTATTTATACTTTAATTATATTGTTAGGTCCAAACTTCCTTCCTCATTTTTTTTATCTTGTTTCTTTTCATTGATTTTAGGGATAGGGGGAGAGAGGTAGAAACATCGATGGGAAAGAACATTAATTGGCCCCCTCATGTATGCCCCCCACTGGGAATTGGTCCCACAACCTAGGCATGTGCCCTGACTAGGAATCTATCTGGCAACCTCTCGGTGCATGGGTCGACACTCAACCACTGAGTCACACCAGCCAATCAGCCTCACTTTTCATAAATTCATTGAGAGGCAAGTTCTGTAGCAGTGTCATCCCACCAATTGTAGCATAATATTTTCCCCCTGGACTTATCAGTATAAGTCTTGGTCCTTGTTTCTAGATCATCTTCATTGTCTTTGTAAGTAATTGTATAATATTCTGTTATGTACCATTATGCAAATATTTGATGTTTTATTATTTCTGGGTTTTGCTATAACAAATAAATCTGCACAGATTTAATTCCTGTGTTGTTTTGCTTTTGTTGTATTATATCCTTAGTTTGAATTCCTATGAGTAGAATTGCTGTGTCAGAATATAACAGATATCTCAGTTTTGTCACATTGCTTTTTTTCTGTTTTAAAGGTTATACCAACTTAGATTTTCACTAGAAATGAATGAGCACATTAATTTCACTGTAGCCTCATTAGGATTTGGTGGTGCGTTCTTTTTTCTTACAAAAAAAAAAAGCTGTAGAATAACATCTTAGAGTTGCTTAAATATTCATTTTATCATTATGGTGCTTTAGTATTTTCCTTTGGGATTATTTACTACCTATTTTCTCATCTGTGAGTTATATGTTATACATTTAATGACCTTGCTGTTTTTCTCATACATGTAAACAAGTGCTGTTATAAAAGAAAATTATATATTATAAATGTTGTTAATCCTCATCCGGAGGTTTTTTTTTCCATTGATTTTTAGAGAGAATGGAAGGGAGAGGGACAGGGTGGGGGGAAGACAGACACATCAGTTGGTTGCCTCCCACATGTGCCTGACCAGAGCAGGGGATCGAACCTGCAACCCAGGCACGTGCCCTCGACTAGAAGCGGACCCATGACCCTTTGGTTCTCCGGCTGATGCTCTAACTGCTGAGCCACTCCAGCCAGAGCTGTTTTGTCTTTTTAAAAGTTAGGTTTATGCCCAGCAGGTGTGGCTCAGTGGATTGAGTGTCAGTCCACAGGAGGTCCCGGTTCAATTCCCAGTCGCAGCTACATGCCTGCATTGCAGGCTTGATCCCTAGTGGGGGGCATGCAGGAGGCAGCTGCTCAATGTTTCCCTCTCACATTGATGTGTGTATCTCTCTCCCTTCCTTTCTAAAAACGCAATAAAATAATACTTAAAAGTTAGGTTTATTAAAATAACTTAAATTTTAATGTTATATAATTAATTCTATAATTCATTTTGTTGGTTTAAATTGAGAGTTTATTTTCTCTTTTGCTAGCTTTTCTGTAATTTGATTTTAACTCCTTATTTTTGTGGTCTTCATACAAATGTGTGCTCTGAATAAGTGGAGAGTAATTGGGAATTTATATTATTCCAAGTCATTGAAATTTAAAAAATCTTCTTTTTTAGAAAACTATCATATTCTTTTATAATTATTTTTAATAGTCATTAATATCTATAAGGGTAGGCTTTATTTTTTAATTCTTTCATAATTTTGCTTTTTAAATTTTAGTCATTTTGTTTTCTTTCAATAAGTGGTTCAGCCCTGGCTGGTTTGGCTCAGCAGTTCGAGCGTCAGTCCGCGGACCAGAGAGTCCTGGGTTCAGTTCCCGCTAAGGGCACGTACCTCAGGTGCAGTTTGTTTGTCCCCGGCCCTGGTTGGGGTCATGTGGGTTGCAACCAGTCAATGTGTCTCTCTCACATTGATGTTTCTCTCTCTCTCTCTCTTTCCCCCTCTCTCCCTCCTGCTGTATCTGAAGATAAATGCAAAAAATGTCCTCAGGTGAGGGAAAAAAATATATATATAATTCTATAATTTTTTTTAGAGCTGATTTTTTGAGATTGCTAAGGTGGATCCTTGGTTTGGGCATAAACTAAACATTCTGTTACAGGCTTTGAACATGGAGCATTCTTTAGTAATGCTTAGGAAAAATGTTTTGAGCCCAGCTGGTATGGCTCAGTGGTTGAGTGTTGACCCATGCACCAAGAGGTCACCAGTGATTCCCAGTCAGGGCACATGCCCAGGTTGTGGGCTCAATCCCCAGTGGAGGGGCATGCAGGATATGGCCAATCAGTGTTCTCTCTCATTGATGTTTCTGTCTTTCTCTCTCTCCCCTTTCCTCTCTAAAAATCGATAAAGAAAAACAAATGTTTTGAACATTGTTTAGGGGAAGAGTAAATAAAAATAATACTATTGGTGACATATGCATCAATAGCGCCATGTCTGTTTCACATGGATAATTTTATACGTTTAGAGCTGTAAGCTCCTAATAACGGAACTTTACATCTCTTAATAAATAGAAGCCTTGCCTGGCCGTTGTGGCTCAGTGGTTGAGCATCGACCCATCTACCGGTCGCTGGCTTGATTCCTGGTCAAGGCACAGCCCAGGTTGTGGGCCCAATGCCCAGTCAGGGGCATGCAAGAGGCGGCCAGTCGATGTTCTTTCTCATCGATGAATTCTGTCTCTTCCCTTCCTCTCTCTAAAATCAATAAAGAAAAAAATATTTAAAAATAAATAAATAAATAAATAGAAGGCTCTTAGAATGGTGACTGAGTAACTTATGGGTAGTGAATCATTTAACTCAAAACAGTGAAATTTAATAAGTAAGTTAAAGTATATACTTGCCTCATAACTTCCATCTTAAAATTTAACTACTCTTTGTTCTGTCTACAGGTGGAAAACCATGAATTCCTTGTAAAACCTTCATTTGATCCTAATCTGAGTGAATTAAGAGAAATAATGGATGACTTAGAAAAGAAGATGCAATCAACATTAATAAGTACAGCTAGAGATCTAGGTAAGAATGGGCTGTTGAGGGTTTGAATAATTCTTTTGTCTACATAATATCCACACAGGTGTCAGAATTTCTTTTCTAGGAGACACAGTTGATTGTGCCAACTTCCTTATTTAAAGTGTGAGATGCTTTTTCTACAGAATAAAATTACAAACACAGTTGGCACACAAGGTACTTTACATTCAAAGCCTTACCTTCTCTTCCAGACTTATCTCTTACTAACTCCCCAAACCCCAGTATGACACCCCATTCATGCCAAACAAATAACCTAACAGGCCCTTGCATTATGTCTTTTAAATAAAGACCTGTTTGTTTGTTTTTTTAAAATATGTTTTTATTGGTTTTTAGAGAGAGAGGAAACATCCATGTTAGAGAGAGACATCGATTGGCTGCCTTCTGCACATCCCCCACTGGGGCTCGAGCCTGCAACCCAGGCATGTGCCCTGACCGGGAATCAAACCAGCGACCTCTTGGTGCATAGATCGACACTCAACCACTGAGCCACACGGCTGGGCTAAAGATCTGTTTTAGATTTCCCCTCTATAAACCTTATTCTACTAGATATAGTTCATTTATTTGGCTATGGAGTTCCTGAGCATTTCATTAATACCAATTTTTAAAATGTCTGCCTGCTGCCCTGGCCGGTTTGGCTCAGTGGTTGGAGTGTCGGCCTGCGGTACAGAGAGACCCGGGTTCGGTTCCCGCTAAGGGCACGTACCTCGGTTGCAGTTTGTCCCCGGCCCTGGTTGGTCATGTGGGTGGCAGCCACTCGATGTGTCCCTTCACTTCGATGTTTCTCTCTGTCTCTCTCTTCCTCTCTCTCCCTCCCGCTCTATCTGGAAAAAAAAAAAAGGAAAAATGTCCTTGGGTGAGGATAAAATAAATAAATAAATAAATAAAATAAAATAAAATGTCTGCCTGCTATACTAGATTAATTCCCTAATTAGTCTCACACTATTCACACTGTTTTGTTATAAATTTGTAAGCCTCTTTGTTCTGAGCATCACTCATATGTGTGCTGAATGGATAAATGAATCTTTGCATTCGAACTAGAAGACCCCTCAGAGCAGCAATATTTAAACTTTTGGAGAATCTGAGGAAAGTTATGGATCCTCCTCTCAGAAATATGCCCATATCTTTATATTTAAAAATGTGCACATAGTTTCTGTGGAGAATCTATATATGGACTGGATTCTAGAGTCAATCTTTGCCTTTGAATAATATTGAAATTTACCCTCCTCACATCATAGCTCTCTAAAGTCCCTTTGCTCTCCAGTCAAGTGAGGTCTGTCTTTAGTTGTTTGCTGTTAACAACATTTGATAGCTATGCTTCATCAAATGAATTTGTAGATACTGTCTCTCTCTTCTATTTTGTGGTCTAAACATCATTTTGATGAGTGAGATTATGAGGAGAGGAGAGACTTTTAAAAACTCAAAAATCTTTGTTCATAAAATTTAGCTAATCTATCATCACTTGTTTTGTGAAGTTTTCTACATTTAACAAAAAAATGTTTGTCCTAGTTTTTCTAGAGTTTCATTGTCAGAGTCTCCACTTTTTGTTTGGAAAGTGTATTTGTTCACTTTCATTTGCTCTATCTTCCAGAGAAATGCTTTGGTTACAGAACCCTCATGCAGAACTCCTTAAGGGCAGGGCCTATGTCTTATTCATCTTCATGCCCCCAGCATCTAGAACAGTGCGTGCTGTGCTTCCCACTGCTGGTGCTCTGCATCCTTGGTTGGGTTTACCCAGAAAGCACTTCCACATCAAAGCTAACACTAAGGGAGTTTAAGGGTCTTATAGATATCCTTAGTGTAGTTTTTGAGTGAAGTAGGATTTGTATCTTTCCTAGCTAAATAATATTAATAATTTTTAGTATGCTATCATGTAATAAAAATATGTATTTCACTCCTTGGATTTAGTTATTTTAAACATTTACATGGAGAAATGGCCATTGATATCTATGACAGACTTTTTTTTTTTCCTGATCATAAAGGTTTGGAATCTGGCAAACAGATTAAACTAGATTCTAATTCACAGTTTGGATATTATTTTCGCGTAACGTGTAAAGAAGAAAAAGTCCTTCGTAACAATAAAAACTTCAGTACCGTAGATATCCAGAAGAATGGTGTTAAATTTACCAACAGGTTTGTAAGCCTCTATTATATTGTTAAGTCTTCAGTAGTTCCAGAGAACTAAATTATTCTCTGATGAAATGTGAATGATCTATGATAAGGAAGTTTTACCATGAAACTGTTAATTGAGATAAGGCATAAGGTAAGGTTAAAACTTTATATTCTCACATGAGGCTAGTCAGGTGTCCCAATACCACTTGTTAAATGATCCTTCTTTTCCTCATTAACCAAAGTGGCACTTTGGTCTATTTTTAAGATAATTTTGTCACATAGCTGTCTCATGATTCTTTTGTCAATATGAAATAGATTGTATTATATTTCTTTTATAGTATGTTTCCATATCAGAGTTAGTTCCCCCTCTTATCTCTGCTTTAGTTATATTTTCACATGTTAATTTTTTCTAAGAAAACTTTGCTATCATTTATCAAGTGAAAAAATTCTTCTGGTATATTAAGTGGCTGTATAAATTAGTTTAGGGAGATGTCTACTCATTAGATTAGACTTTTTAAAAATATGTGTTTTTATTTTTATTTTTTAGAGAGAGAGAGAGAAACATCCATGTGAGAGAGAGACATGGATCGGCTGCCTCCTGCACACCCCCTACTGGGGATCGAGCCTGAAACTGGGCATATGCCCCAACTGGCCATCAAACCAGAACTTCTCAATCCATTGAGCCACACTGGCCTAGCTGATTACAGCTTTTAAAAAAATCGTGGTCCAGGTTGAAAAATCTCTTGCCAGTTTTGTCCTAATTTTCCTTTGCTGATGTTAGGAAGTTCCTGAGGCAAATTATTCACAGATGAAGAAAGTTATTTTAAAATAAATCTTCTGTGACTTGGGTGGGGGAGCATTTATCCTTTCTCCTGTGTACTAGAATTTATGGCTTGCCTTAATTTCACCTCTCCCGAATATTCCCAGTACATTAAAAAAAAATTTTTTTGTGTGTGGGTTTTTAAAGCTTTTTCAATGATTTTTTTTTTTTTTTTTTATCCTCACCTGAGGACATTTTTCCACTTTTTTATTCAGATAGAGCGGGAGGGAGAGAGAGAAACATCGACGTGAAAGGGACACGTCGAGTGGCTGCCACCCCTATGACCCTACCAGGGCCAGGGACCAACTGCAACCAAAGTACATGCCCTTAGCGGGAACCGAACCCGGGCCTCTGTGGACCGCAGGCCGACGCTCTAACCCCTGAGCCAAACCGGCCAGGGCAGCTTTTTCAATGATTTTTAGAGAGAGGAAGGGAGAGAGAAACATCAGTCAGCTGCCTCCTACACGCCCCCTACTGGGGATCCAGCCTGCAACTTAGGCATGTGCCCTGACTGGAATTAAGCCTGCGAACTTTTAGTGCATGAGACAATGCCCAACTGAGTCACACTGGCCGGGGCCCCAGTACTTTTGTTTATATGATCCCCCTTCATTCCTTCATTTATTTAACAAGTTTTGTTTTGTTTTTGTTGTTTTGTTAATCCTCACCTGGGGATATTTTTTCCATTGATTTTTAGAGAAAATGGGAGGGAGGAAGAGAGAGAGAGAGAGAGAGAGAGAGAGAGGAAAGAAGGAAGGAGGGAGGGAGGGAGAGAGAAAGGAAGGAAAGAAGGAAGGAACGAAGGAAGGAAAGAAAGGAAAACATCGATGCGAGAGACACATCAATTGGTTGCCTTCCACACAAGCCCCAACCTGGGACAGATCGAACCTGCAATCCAGGTCAGTGCCCTTGATCAGGAATCGAACCTACAACCCTTTGGTGTGAGGGCCAACGCTCTAACCATTGAGCCACAATGGCCAGGGCAATTTATTTAACAAGTATTTTGAGTGTCTAATATGTGCAGATATTCTAGGTGTTCAGACACCCCAGTGATAAAACAGTCTGTTTAGTTTGTTCCTCATAACAGTTCTCTGAAATAAATAGGTTGGGTATATTTCACTCATATTTTAGAGGAAGAAGCTGAAACTCCCAATTCCCCAGGGTTAGACAGCTAGGTACTCAAACCTAGGTCTCCTGTTGCTAAATGTAGTAGTTGCTTTCCCATCATGCTTTATCCCTGATCTAAGAAATATATATATATATATATTTTGGCTTAGATAAGATAGAACTTTTGGGGTGTCATAATCATCTTCAAGCCACCCATTTACTAGTTGTAACAGAGATTGAACTGAATGACCACAGTGATTCCAAAAATTGTGAAAAATTCCTTGATATTTTTCTTCTCCAGATTGACTGCTTGCTTTGTATCTAATCTGATCATACAGTTTTCTTTTCTTAAAATTTTCCAATGTCTGTCATCCAGAAAACTGAAATATTTATTATGGCCTATACAGTCTGGTCCCTGCCCACCTCTGCTTTTATTTCTTGCAGCTCTTTCCTTCACACAGCAGTCTCATTTTTATCATCTTTGCCTCTTGCTTTTCTTTCTGTAATTCCTTTAATTTGCATATTCTGTAGCAGTCTTTTTGTGCTGACTCTTGCCCATGTACTGTTCTTGAGCTGTGTACTATGTATTATGTCATTGGTTAATTTCATCAAATTCACAGTGATTGTCTTGGTTTACTGATAAGTATTTCCCAGTCTTCTTTTTGTCTATGTGCCCTCATTTGTGTTTTTGTTTTTAATTTTAATCCTTCCCTTTGATACCAGTGAATGAATACTTTTCACTTTTGTTCTCATCTTCTGTATTTTTTTAAGCTTTGATTTTTATTTTCTCTTTAAATTCCTCAATAAGATTTAGTTTTCAAAATACTTTCCTTTGACAACTTTTAGTATCAAAAGACAAGTACACTATAATAATGAGAGAAACTGTGTGTATGTATTTTAAAGGGGGGGGGTGGCCTCTGTTGTAAGTAAGGATGAAGATTTAATACATTCAAATATTTTAGAAAAGGTCACAGATCAGAGTTTTATTCAATGGAATAACTTAGAGAAATAATTATGCTAGTATTGCAAACAGCATAAATGTTAATGCACTGAATTCCAACCACATCATTCCCTAATGAGTTGCTCATTTTCTACTGATATTTCCATTTTAATTATTGTTTTGATGCTTCATAGGATGAATAGTCTGGATATGTTTTATATAGTGTACATTATCTTCAGTACATATTTTCATTAAAAAAATAATATCATCTTGATTTGCAGTGCTTTGACTTCTCTTAATGAAGAATATACCAAAAATAAAACTGAGTACGAGGAAGCCCAGGATGCCATTGTTAAAGAAATTGTCAATATTTCTTCAGGTAATAACAGAGCGAATACATTCTGAATATGACCTGTTTTTTTATAATAACAGAACATCAGGATGTTTGAAAACTGGTCTTTTAAAAAGCTGTTACACTATTAATTATGTTAGTCCACCTTCCAAATAATGCATATGTATTGTGGTAGGAAAAGTAACTGGAAATTACTCTGGTACATAGGAAGATAAGCTAATACTGGCTAAGGAATGGGAATACCCTGAAAAACAAAGATGTGTAAAAAAGCACAAAACTTACTATAGTTGTAACAAGGGAAAGAAGCCAAGGACTGTTATCTATGAGCTCATGCTCTAGGTTATGGAAATAAATACCACTGAAAAGCAAATATAAATTATACAAGAGGCAAGCAAGCCCTTTTAAGTTCTACGTGCAATTTATAGAGTTTAAGAGTCCATTCTAGAGGCATTGTTTGAGGTGATTGTTTTATAATTAAAGAGACAGCATGATTTGGCATCATGGTATAGCCCTTCGCATGGAATGAATGTATGTTTGGCACAGGGTATGCGGAGATGTGTTAAGCTGGAAGGCTTTGCCTATCATCAGTGGATATTGACTGTAATCTTTATTGTGCCTTGTAAAAATATACCAAAGAAACACTTAAACGAAGTGATCAAAGTTGGCATCACAGTAATGGGACAAATGACATTTTACATTTCCTGATGTGATGAAGTGGGAAGGACACAATACCATCTATGTAATATTCTTGACAAAAAACATTTAATCTGATTATAAATAAGAAAATCAGGTAAATTTAGATTGTGGCACATTCTTTTAAAGGCTGGAATTATTTAAAAATGTCAGTGTCATGGAAGCAAAAAAAAAGAATGGGCTGACTCTATTCTAGATTAAAGGACACTTAAAAGAGACAGGACAGTTAAATGCAGTGGATGAACCTTGACTGGATGAAGGATTTAGGAGTTGGGGAATAGCTATAAAGTACACTATTGGGACAAATTGGCTAAGTTTTGTTGTTGTTAATCCTCACCCGAGAATATTTTTCCATTGATTTTTTTTAGATAGTGGAAAGGAGGGAGGGCGAGAGGGGGGGAGAGATTGATGTCAGAGACTCATCAGTTGATTGCCTCCTGCACTACTCTGACCAGGCCAGGGATCGAACCTGCAACCCAGCTACGTGCCTTTGATCAGGAATCGAACCCAAGACCCTTCAGTCCGCAGGCCAACACTAACTGCTGAGTCAAACCTGCCAGGGCCAAATTTGCAAAATTTAATGTGAAATAATGTGGTATCAGTGTCGCATTTCTTGAATGTGTATTATGATTAAGTAGGAGGATGTTCTTGTTCTCGGGATATGCACGCTGAATTATTTGGGGGTAAAAGTCATTTAAAAAGTATGTTGATGCCCAGCTGGTGTGGCTCAGTGATTGAGCATCGACTCATACACCAAGAGGCTGCCGATTCGATTCCCAGTCAGGGCACATGCCCCGGTTGTGGGCCAAGTCCCCAGTGGGGGGACATGTAGGAGGCAGCCATTCGATGTTCTCTCTCATCGCTGTTTCTATCTCTTTCTCTCCCTCTCTCTCAAAAATCAATAAATAAATAGAAGGTATTGTATTTGGAGTCACCTTGAATTTAAATGAAACCTCTTCTTGGTCTAACATACACATTTAAAACTATCTTTATTTAAAAATGTAGCCCTGGCCCTGGCCAGTGTGGCTCATCGATTAGAGTCCCAGGTTCGGTTTCTGCTAAGGGCACGTACCTCGGTTGCAGTTTGTCCCCGGCCCTGGTTGGGGTCGCGTGGGTGGCAACCAGTCGATGTGTCTCTCTCATGTCGATATTTCTCTCTCTTCCCCCTTCTTTTCCTCCTGCTGTATCTGAAGATAAATGCAAAAAAAATTAAATTAAATTTAAAAATGTAGTGGATCATTTTTGTAGTTTTCTAACTTGCTATTAAACCAGGAAAGCTGATATTGTTAAGAGCCAGATGAGTTTTTTTTTTAAAAATCTGCCTCATTTCTTTATAAGCAGCTGTGTGCTTCTATATGTTAATGGATTTTGGTAAGGCGGGCCATCATACTCTTTGTATTTTTGAAATCTGTTCATAGTGGGGGAAGATGTAGCAACACATTTTAACATTATGTTGAGTTTTAGGTGTTCCTTTCAAGTGTAGTTGTGGCAAACTTCTGTTAATTTAAAATATATATATATATAAATTAGGAAATAGAGTTTGAATTCCCAAATGGGGAAGTTAAATGTATTCTTATAGCTGCCTATGTGTGTTTTTTTTTAATTCAATATTCCTGTCAACATTTTCTGTTTTTATATAGGCTATGTGGAACCAATGCAGACACTCAATGATGTGTTAGCTCAGCTAGATGCTGTTGTCAGCTTTGCTCATGTGTCAAATGGAGCACCTGTTCCATATGTACGACCAGTCATTTTAGAGAAAGGACAAGGAAGAATTATTTTGAAAGCATCCAGACATGCTTGTGTTGAAGTTCAAGATGAAGTTGCATTTATTCCCAATGATGTTCACTTTGAAAAAGATAAACAGATGTTTCACATCATTACTGGTAAAAAAACAAAAAAAAATCCTAGTTTATAGGCTTTTTGGGTAATGTTTCTTTTTTTAATGTTGGAGTAAAAATTGGTGAAGAAAATCGTAGTTTTTGATATTAGAAAAAACATTCATATTAATGAGTAATGTATTCACATTTGGATTAGAAGGTAGAGGCTTATGAGAAAATACTGTATTTATAAGAAACTTCTGTTCCTGGAGTTCAGGGCATTTAAAAATGAACACCCTTTTTTCGTCAAAGCTACCTTTGAGCCAGACCTTTCAGTAGTGAGGTCGTTGAAGATCAAGCAGAGTGGGCTGCTGGAATGACCTCAGTTTAGGGTAGCAGTTCTTTTAAAGACATGACACTTACAGACTAATGTAGCATGTCTCAAACTGAAGTGTTGTGAGAGATCTTAACCAGATTCCAAAAAACAAAGGGGAAGGAGTTAGGAGTCTTTGGGCTCAATCCTGTTTCCCCAAATGTATTTTCAAGTTGTTTATACAAGTAGGGTTATGTCTTGGGGTTTCAATGTGGAGTTTAAGTGGTTTGAAGGATTTGACCATAATGATCTATTCACTAATAGCCCATTTATTAATGAGTTAGTGTTTAGTCAGTTAGGCCTATACTACTATCCTGGATGTCATAAAATTATTTTGCAGGCAGCTCCGTGAGTTGTGGAAAATGTCTGTGTGGTCTTTCTAGGCCGTAGTCAGATTATAGGTAAAATACATTTTTGTGGGTCCTCTCCATGAGGAAGCAGTATAGGTTAGTCTGAAGAGAAAATAGCATTACTTTGGGAAGTAGTATTGGCAGCAACATTGTCCACATCCTTGGGTAGCTTATGCTTCTGCTTCTTTTATGTCATCATATTACCTAGGTGATTAGTCAACAATGTGTAATTTAGGACTAACGGTCAATTTATTAGCAGAAATAAATAATCTTTTTGATATAATGTGTTTTATAGGCCCCAATATGGGAGGTAAATCAACATATATTCGCCAGACTGGGGTCATAGTTCTCATGGCCCAAATAGGGTGTTTTGTGCCCTGTGAGTCAGCAGAAGTGTCCATCGTGGACTGTATCTTGGCTCGGGTAGGGGCTGGTGACAGTCAACTGAAAGGAGTCTCTACTTTCATGGCTGAAATGTTAGAAACGGCTTCCATTCTCAGGTGAGTGCATTTCCTAGTCCCCGGAAAATGGAAATGAATGTCCCTGTCCTATGAGAAGTACATTTGTAGATTCACCTGTAAAACATCTGAGGATTTTTATCTAGTGTAATAGTTTTTATGTGAACTTTTTGTATTTTATATTATCTTAAATGGGTGATTGGTGATACTTACGGAAAGCTTTGATTTTTAAAGTTGTCTTCTTAAGGTTTCTGGTAGTTCTTCACCTTATATTCCTCCACTACCATGCTTTTGCCTACACTGTTCACACTACCTGAACTGGTCCCTCCTTGCCCTTTACCCAAGTCCTTTCCAATCTTTACAGAACCTAATGACAGAAATTTTACCTCTCCAGTGATGATTATTATCATTATTTCTGGTCACATGAACCTAAGGTCATGAATGTGTCCACATTGAACTCTCTGTCATGTCTGATATCTATTAGGTTTTTATTTTAGAGGTTACTGAACTCTCTTGTCTTTTTTTAAATAATATATTTTTATTGATATTTTTAGAGAGAAAGGGAAAGAGAGAGAAAGAAAAATTGATGTGGGAGAGAACCATTGATCGGCTGCCTCCTGCATGCCCCCCACTGGGGATCAAGCCCCAAACCCCGGTATGTCCCCTAACCAGGAATCAAACTGGTACTTCTCAGTCCATGGGACAACACTCAGTCCACTGAGCCACACCAGTAGGGCTGAAATCTCTCGTCTTTATTTTAGTTTTCAGGAACTTCTTTGAAGGCACAGAGGCTATTCCTTTTGGTTGTTGGTGTCCTTAGTAAATTACGTGTTGATTATTATTTGTTCAGTATAGTAATTAATCAACAACTTAATATTCAAAACTTAAAAGATGAAAGAAATAAGCAAAAGATGTCAGTGGCAATTCACAGAAAAAAGAAATGACCAATACTTATATGAAGAATTGTCAAATTCTCCAATTAAAAAAAAATTTTTTCCCTCTTACATTTGGTTAAGTATTGTGGCAGGAACACAAATTTTCATGACCATCAGCTGTGTAGTCCAGTGTTCATAGTATTATATCCTTGTCCCATCTTCATGTGGTATTATATTTTTAAAATTTTTTATTTATTGATTTTAGAGAGAGATCGATTTTTGTTGTTCTGCTTACCTGTGCATTCATTGCTTGATTCTTATATGTGCCCTGACCAGAGGTCGTACCCACACCCTGGTGTATTGGGACCACATTCTAACCAACTGAGCTACCTGGCCGGGCCAGTATTATTGTTATTATTATTTTTTAATCTTGATTTGTTTTATTCACCATTTGTTTCTTTTTCTATCCATTGTTCATGTCCATGCCCATGTTTTCTCCTGAAGTTTTATTGCTTTGTATTGACTTTGTTGAAATGTTTAACATTAAAATAGTGAATATGTTACGTATGTGGTATATCTTTTCTGTTATGTTGTCTTAATTTTGTTTCTTGCATTATTATGTTTTGGGAAAATTTCACATAATTATGTGTTTCAGGTCCGCGACCAAAGATTCATTAATAATTATAGATGAATTAGGAAGAGGAACCTCTACCTACGATGGATTTGGGTTAGCATGGGCTATATCAGAGTACATTGCAACAAAAATCGGTGCTTTCTGCATGTTTGCAACCCATTTTCATGAACTTACTGCCTTGGCCAATCAGATACCAACTGTTAATAATCTACATGTCACAGCACTAACTACTGAAGAAACCTTAACTATGCTTTATCAGGTGAAGAAAGGTGAGTGTAGACCACTGGTTATACTGAGAGTTCAAAGTGTGACATGGGAACCTTCCTTGAAGTTGTCAGCAGTTGCCTTATTCTAAGTATGAATTACTGATATTTTTATAGAACACATTTATCTCTTAATTCACAGTTTGGGAGCAGGGACATGGTATATTATCTTTGTTTCTATGTCTTATAGTAGAACTACTCATTCTAAAACCATCACAGAAAGAATAATGTGTACTCTTGAACATCACCACAAAGGAATTTTATACTACCTCCCATGACAGTATGTTTTCTTATCAAATTACTTATTGGATAGCAACAGTAAGCTCTGAAGTTCCAAGGCTCTAGCTGTTACTGTTTATTAGACTGTTATAATTATCTGATTATGTCAAAGTTGTATTACATAAACAGGTTCATTTAAAGCTGGGTTTTCCAGAATTCCTGAAGTTGTTAGTTAACACATAAGGAATGACTTATTTGTTGGCATTTCATCCTTTCAGAAAAGTTTGTTGTTTGTGGGGTCTGGCAGCTCATCAGATTAGTGATTTGATGAGATCAAATTAATGTTCTGTAAAATTTTTATTGAACATTTCACCAATCATCGGAATAACTTGTTCAGATGGCTTTCTGGTTTTCCGTGAACATGTTTTTCTACACCAGGAGGTTGTACATAAGTGAGATAATTATTTTTGGTTATTTTATCCTTTGTTATTTATGTTTTTGAGTTACTGTGTTTACATTATTATCATCAACATAAAATATAGATACTTTTAGTTGGATTTGGCATTTAGCTTAAAGTTGAGGTTTTGCTCTTAAATTATTGTTTTGTGTGATATAGAAATGAGTTCAGAAGATTAAAAAAAAAACAGATGAAGTACAGAGAAGATAGGAATAAGTTTGTCCTTCACTGTGTATGTTCATCAAACATATGCTTCTATTTTGTTTTTATTTGTTTCTCTTGTGTAAGTGTCCAGCTTAAGAATGCATGAGATATATAAGTAGCTCCCCAACAATTTACAGTTGATATATAATTGAAGCAAAAATGGAAACTCCATAATAAGTGCAAGCATTATTTATATTAAACATTTGGAAGGAATGTTTTAGTTTATTTTCTGCAAATGGAGATAACGATCATCTACTTAGTCTGTAAATTTACTAGTGATTTGGGTAAAAAAATTTCTTTGTCATTTGTTTGTAATAGTTTAGAATCAGAATGAGATTATATAAAAATGGTAATTAACTTTTCTAAGAAAGGTATTGTAAATATTTAAATTTATTTATTTTTATTTATTTTAAAATTTATTTATCCGGCCAGTTTTCTGGAGTCACCATCTCTAGAAAATAATGTAGACAGATCCAGAGGATAGACCATTCACTAATAATAAGTCACTATATTTTTAATTAAATGCTCCTCTTAATTAGTGACACTTTTACATTTATTTCTTTTTCTCAGTACTTTAATTTCTCCCTTATGAAATGGGAAAACCTCAGAGAGATAGAGTTGATTAATTTTTCTTTAGATTCAGATATTTGTCTAGGCCTTTGAGGATTATCTGTCAAGCCTTTTCTTTTTCATTTTTATTTTTCTACTACATTTGTCAAGGATAAAATATAGCACTGTGCCAAGTCATAATCACTTTTCACTGGAGGCTTAATTAAAATCCCTTTATCTCTGTTACTCTGAAACATTTGGCTAATGTGTTTGAAATAATACAAAATTGAGTTTTCTAATGACAAAGTAAGGATAAGTTTCATTTACATAAACTGTTATCTCTTCCTACCCTGTCCCTCTCCCCATAACGCCCTCCCCACTTTCTTGTAGGTATCTGTGATCAAAGTTTTGGGATTCATGTTGCAGAGCTTGCAAATTTTCCTAGGCATGTAATAGAGTGTGCCAAACAAAAAGCTCTGGAACTAGAGGAGTTTCAGAGTATCAGAGAATCACAAGAAAATGATGAAATGGAACCAGCGGCAAAGAGGTGCTATCTGGAAAGAGAGGTCAGAATGATTCTGTAGTTATTTAACCTCTGTATTTTTATATATATCGGGTCACCAAGATGAATTTTTTTTTCTATATGATTGTAATGTTTACTTATTGATCATTCATTATTGATGTTCAATTACATTTCTTTACATGGCAAATAATTCATCTATATCATTTTGATTTCTGCGTTATATAAACATCTACATGATCAAAACATAACATTTCAAGTACCAAATTTTAAAAGTAGGAGGATAGGGCTCTTTGTCTAGCTTTAAAATAAGTAATTCAATGGAGTTAATTGATGTCCAGATAGATCTTTGATTAATTCCAAGTGAATACATGTCCAGTTAAGTTGCATATTTACTTAGTGCTTAGTTAAGATGATACCAATGAAATAAAAATAGTTCCTGTCCTCCAGTTGTTTAGAATATAGTTGGAGAGGTAATAATAATGAATAATCATGGTCATAGAAAATAAAGTGGCATATGACAAATGTTTACTCAGGAAAGTTCTGTGTGGGCGGGATGTCAGTTCTCATAGGAGAAATGGGCCTTCTCTGAGGGATGGGTGAAATTTAGAGGCTCACACAGAAAGGCACAAGCCTATGCCCAACGTACTTTTTAAAACTATAGGATTACCCTGGCTGGTTTGGCTCTGCGGTTGGAGCGTCAGCCTGTGGATTCGATTCTGGTCAAGGGCACATACCTTGGTTGTGGTTCGTGTGGGAGGTAACCAGTTGATGTGTCTCTTTAACATCAATGTTCCTCTCTCTCCCTCTCTCCCTCCCTCCTACTCTATCTGAAGATAAATGGAAATATATCCTCGGGTGAGGATTTTAAAAAAATTAAAGGATTTTTAGTTCTCTGTAACAGTGAAAATAAAAGAATCTTAATTCACTGCTAGTTTCTGGCAATGTTTGCTGTGGTATAATTGTGACAACTTTTTTTTATCCTCACCCAAGGATATTTTTCCATTTTTTGTTCAGATAGAGTGAGAGGGAGAGAAAGAGAGAGAAACATCGAAGTGAAAGGGACACATCGAGTGGTTGCCACCCGCACAACCCAACCAGGGCCGGGGACAAACTGCAACCGAGGTACGTGCCCTTAGCAGGAACCAAACCTGGGTCTCTGGACTGCAGACCGACGCTCTAACCGCTGAGCCAAACCGGCCAGGGCACAACTTTCTTTTTTGTTAATCCTCACATGAGGTTATTTTCCACTGTTCTTTTGTTTTTTGTTTTTTTAAGATAGAGTGGAAGGAAAGGAGGGAGGAAGGGAGACATTGATTGGTTGCTTTCTGCACAACCCCGACTGGGGCTAGGAATCGAACCTGTAGCCCAAGTGCATACCCTTGACTGGAATCGAACCTGAGATGCTCTAACCGCTAAGCAAAACCTGCCAGTGCATGACAACTTATTTGTCACATTTTTAGCTTTTACCCAGTGAATTTTTTGTTCTTCTTACTTGAAGGATAGCTGATTGTTACAGTAATCAATGATGTATATGGTTTTTGAGCTTAAATGTATGATTTGATCTATTGTACCTATGTAATCAGGAGAAATGTGTTATAACTTGTTGATAGCTTTAAGGATGGAAGGTTGCCATCCTGAAGATGAAATGATCTTGGTATCAGCACCACAGCTCTGAGTGATCTGGGATTAGGTAGGCTTTTTATATAATCCCTGGCTTCCAATTGGAACAGAAGTCATGTACTTTTGATAAAATTAATTACAATGTATTTTAAAATTTTAAGCAAAGGGAGACAAAAGTGCTCTTGTTTAATAGAGAAGTATTTTTCCCCTTCTTATCATTTTGATATCTACCTTTCTTTCACCTTTAAGGTACTTATTACCAACTAGCTCCCTATGTGCGAAGCAGACCTGCTTCATATACAGTAATAATCATTTACATAGCACTTACCTTTGCCAGATACTGCACTTTGCACATACTAACTCTTTAATTCTCACAATAGCCCTGTGTTGTTGGTAGTGTTATTCTCATTTATGGATGAGGAATGTGGGTAAAAAAATTTGCCCACAGGTCACATGGCAAGTAATAAGCATTCTTTAGAAATGGTAATAACTGGGCAGTAAAATAAATCTAAAGAGAAATAACCTGTCTATGAGTGTTAAATTTTCAGTTACTGTTCATGCCTTATAGTATTTGTAAACCTTGAGTTTTTTTTCTCCCAGAAGACTTAAGTTTATATATATCACTTATAGAAATTAAGGAATGCCCTGGCCGGTTTGGCTCAGCAGTTAGAGTGTTAGCCCACGGCCTGGAGAGTCTTGGGTTCGGTTCCCACTAAGGGCACATACCTCGGTTGCAGTTGGTCCCCAGCCCTTGTTGGGGTCGTATGGGTAGAAACCACTCAATGTATCTCTCTCATATCGATGTTTCTCTCTCTCTCTCTCCCCCTCCTGCTCTGTCTGAAGATAAATGCAAAAATGTCCTTGGATGAGGATAAAAAAATAAATAAAAACTAAGGAATTTGGGAATTACTAAAGTATCCAACCCCTTTTTCATTAGCAGCTGAATATATATTTATGAATGTCCTTACTGTGCCTTTTTTTTTAATCCTCACCTGAGGATATTTTTTCCATTTATCACCAAATAGAGTGGGAGGAAGGGAGGGAGAGAGAGAAACATCAATGTGAGAGAGACACATCAACTGGCTGCCTCCTGCACGACCCAATCAGGGCCGGGGACGAACCGCAACCGAGGTACATGCCCTTGACTGGAATTGATCCCGTGACTTATTGTCCTCAGGCTGATGCTCTAAATGCTGAGCCAGACTGGCCAGGGCTCAGTGTCTTGCTATAAAGAAATGTGGTCACTAAAGGGTTTTGCTATATAGTTTATCCTTGAACAACAGGGGTTTGAATTTGCATGGGTACACTTACATGTGGATTTTTTTTCAATACTGCTTTGACTTAATAACATTTTTCTCTAGCTAACTTTATTTTAGGAATACAGTATATGATACATATAACATACAAAATGTCTGTTAACTGACTATTTATGTTATCAGTAAGGTTTCTGGTCAATCAGCAGGCTATCAGTAGTGTTTTAGGGAGTCAAAAGTTATACACAGATTTGCAACTGCCTAGGGAGGTCAGCACCCCTAACCTCCGTTATATTCAAGGGTCAACTGCATATTCTAGACAGTGCACACTTAAAATTTAAAGAACATTTAAAAAATACTGAGTGGTGTGTTTAGATGGAAATTTAATGGAACACTTGAATATTATTTACTCTGATGATTAGTGATGTTGAGCATTTCTTCATTTGTCTCCTGGCCATATTTAATGTGACTTTTTAGAAAAGACATTTTAAAGACTAATGGAATGTTCACTTGTTTTTCAGCAAGGTGAAAAAATTATTCAAGAGTTTTTGTCCAAGGTGAAGCAAATGCCTTTTACTGAAATGTCAGAAGAAAATATCATAATGAAGTTAAAACAGCTGAAAACTGAGGTGATAGCGAAGAATAATGGGTTTGTAAATGAAATTATTTCACGAACAAAGGTTACTACATGAGAAAATCCCACTGATGGAATGAAAATAATATTGATAAGCTATTGTCTGTAATACTTTTGTATTGTTTTATATTAATCCTTTTCCCATAGTTTTGACAATTGATGCCCATGGGATATCAACTTAATAAAATATTTAGTAATGCTTCACTCTACCTGAGTACATTTTCACAGATCTTTATTTTGTAAAGTGATAGTTTTTACTGAAGAATACTTAAATGGACATGGGCATTAGTAGGCAATATGTTGAATTTTATAAATAAAATCACGTAGTTTTTGGAATTTGATATGCATTGTATTTCTTTGTAATAGGGCTTCTACGCATATTTATTCCCAAATGGTATGAAAGAAATAAGTAGCACAGAAACTTGGTAAAAGTGAAGGAATTTAATGTTGGAAGAAAACATGGAAATCATTTCCAGTGATTCCCCAGAGTGTCCATCTGTTGGCAGGAGTCATGTTGGCTGCATACACATTAGCCAAGGAACTTATTATAAATCCAGAGTGTCCTACCTAGTGTGATTTCCACCCTGTCTGCCATTCTCCCGCCTCCAGTCTGTGAAGAGATTTAGAAATCTGGATTTTTACAAAACCTTTTATATTGGAACCATGACTTAGTCTACTTCTCTTGTTTTACAGGAAAGAGATGGAGAGGTTAAAAGTTAGTGACTGGCTTTGCTGAATATGGGAGAAAGGAAAGTCTTTCAAAAAATGGTGATGGGATGATGGCTTGTCCATATAGGAACAGAGTGAAATTGCATCATATATAAAAATCAACTCCAGTGAATTTTGACCCAAATGTACAAGGCAAAACCACCAAGCTTATAGTGTTTAGATAAATATTTTAGAAAATAATACAGGGAAATAGTTTTATGATCTTAACTCTGAAAGATTTAAGTCATAAACACCATAAAATTTGATATACTTAGCTATAAAATATCAAAGGATTTATATCCAGACTATATAAAGAATTTCTATAAAATCACTGAAAAAATGGACACTCAAGAGTCTTCAAAATTTTTTAAAATAATTTTTAAAAACATTTTTATTGATTGTTATAGAGAAAGTAAGGGAGAGGGTGAGATAGAAACATCAATGAGAGAGAAACATTGATCAGCTGCCTCCTGCACGCCCCCAACACTGGGGATCGAGCCTGAAACCCATGCATGTGCCCTGACCAAGAATTGAACCAGTGACCTCTTTAATCACCAGTCAAAAATGAACACCATGTCTGGTTACCTCTCAGGACTTTCCCCAGATTAACAGTCATTTAAAGTGTGACAGTGCTGGACTTCCGGTCAAAATGGCGGTACTACATCCTCCCACAACCACATCAAAGTTGCAACTAAACTACAGAACAACCATCATTCAAAACCGCCTGAAATCAAGCTGAATGGAAGTCCTACAACTACAATTAAAACAGCAGCCACATCCAGGCTGGTAGGAGGGGCAGAGGCATGACTGGCTGGTCCCACACCCACGTGTGGCGGATAAAAATCAGGAGGACACCTCAGCTGGGAAGGTCCTCCCTGAGGACTGAGGGGCCCCCGTTCCACACCAGGTGCCCCGCTCAGGGTTCCAATGCCAGGAAGAGAATTGCCCATAACTTCTGGCTGGAAAAACCAGCAGGAACTGAGGCTCAGGGAAGCTGAAGCGGCTGGAGCCCCAGGCAGCTCTTTAAAGGGCCCGCGCACAGATTTATCGAACTCACTCCCTCTAAGCTTAGAGGAGAGGCAGCTCGGGGGGGTACCAGAGATATACAGGGAAGAACTGGGCTGTTTGGCATTGGAGCGAGGGCTGGAGAGGGGGGCTTTCTCCAGGACAAACGTGCTGTCAGAGGCCTTTGTTCCTTTGGTGAGCCCTTCCCTGGGGCAGCAGACAGCCACCATATCTGGGACTCCAGCAACCTGGCTCACACTGGTTGCCCTGCCCAGGTGATTCCCTGAGGCCCTGCCCCACCCAACTTTCAGGCCCACCCAAGCTGTTGCCAATTGCTTAACCATAGGATTGGCCTATCTTGGATTCTGCTTCAGGTTTTTCCTCAATTCTTTCAAACAAGCAGCATCTGGTCTCAGCTAGCCCAATACCGCTCATTAAGTAATACACAGAAACAAACACAGGGGGGCAGCCAAAATGAGACAAACAGGTTCCAAATGAAAGAACAGAACAAAACCCCAAGAAAAGCAACCTAACAGATGCTGAGTTCAAAATACTGCTTATAAGGATGCTCAACTTAGTGAGAATTTCAGTGAACTTAGTGAGGGCCTCAAGAGCATAAAAAAGGACCAGTCAGAAATTATGGATGCACAGTCAGAAATGAAGGAGGCATTAACTGAAATAAAGAATAATTTACACAGATTCAATAGTAGAGTACGTAAATCCAAGAAGCAAAACATTGATTTGGAATATAAGGAAGCAAAAACACCCAATCAGAACAGCAAAAAGAAAAAAGAATTAAACAAAATGAGGACAGTGTAAGGAGCCTCTGGGACAACTTCAAGCGTGCCAACATTTGCATCTTGGGGGTGCCAGGAGAAGAGAGAGAACAAGAAATTGAAAACCTGTTTGAAACCATAATGGCAGAAAACTTTCCTAACTTGAAGGAAACAGACATACAAGTCCAGGAAGCAGAGAGTCCCAAATAAGATGAACCCCAAGAGGCCCACACCAAGACACATCATCATCAAAATGCTAAAGGTTCAAGACAGAATCTTAAGAGCAGCAAGGGAAAGGCAGCTAGTTACCTACAAGTGAGTTCCCATAAGGCTGTCAGCTGATTTCTCAAAAGAAACTTTGCAGGCCAGAAGGGAGTGGCAAGAAATATTCAGAGTGCTGAAAAACAAAAATCTGCAACCATCCTGCAAAGCTGTCATTTAGAATCGATGGCCATATAAAGAGTTTCCCAGACAAGATAAAGTTAAAGGAGTTCATCACCACCAAACCGTTATTATATGAAATGATGAAGGGTCTTTTTGAAGAAAAAGATAAAATATATGAACAAACAAAATGGCAATGAATACATATCTATCAACAATGGAATCTACAAACAAAATGAACAGGTAGAACAGAAACATTCTCATAGATACAGAGAACATTTTGTTGGTTGCCAGATTGGGAGGGGATTTGGGGGAATGGGTGAAAAAGGTGAAGGGATTAAGAAGTACAAATTCATTGCTAGACTGACAAAGCTCAAAGGGAAAGGGGTTGGGGGGTGGGAAGAAATAAACCAAAGAACTTATATGAATATGTGCATAACCAATGGACACAGACAACAGTGTGGGAAAAGGCAGGAGGGGGCCAGGAGTGGAGAGGAGGGGGTCAATGGGGAAAAAGGAGGAACATCTGTAATACATTCAACAAAGGTAAAAAAAAAACACATAATAAACCTGTTTAAGATATTTCAGACACAAGCTGTGCTTATGACGTGGATATGTTAATGAATCCACCAGGCGTTCACTTAGAGCCTTCTTCCTTTTGGAGTGGTGATGTAAGTAAAGCAAAAGATAAACTAATTTCTGATCTGTCAAAAGACAATGGATTTCAAGATTTTAATCGCAATATGGTTTCCTTCCCTCCTCACTCAAACATGAACTTGGAAAATGCCAGAATAAAGCCAAATATATAAATATCAAAGATTTCTAACAACCACAGTTTATCATGAAATCTGTTGGCCACATAACCAAATTTCTGAGAAAATATATGACTGTTTTATATTTTTAAAAATTAGCACTAAGAATCCATCCAAGATGCAATTGTTTTGGTAATTCATTTGATCCCCCCTGCTTACTATACTCTTTGTAACAGAACAGAAGAAAGATGTTTTAGGATAGATATATTTTTAAAAATAACTTTTTCTCCTTAAAATCTCAGTGTTCCACATACTGAGCACATCCTGTTAGATTTCTTGAGTATTAAATGCATCTTCTATCCTTGGTCTTTCTGCATTTAGCTTTTTTGGGAAGTGTGTTTTTACGCACAGCATATGGTATGAGCTGCAGATTCAGTACTGAGTGGCTCTTAAAGCTTGTTAGTTTTCTGTTGATTAAAATGGTGCCCAGAAGAAAATGGTGTGCAGATCAGTCCGAAGAAAAACCAGTCCCTGATCTGAAATAAACTAAACAATGTTAATCAGCTTATAAAGGGAAACAGAGAATTTTCGTATACAAAGAAAAGCTCTTACTGCCTTCCTAGTGTGTTGGGTTAAGGAGATAGGGTGTGGCCGGGGAAGGTGATGGAAAAGTCCAGAATGATACACATATTTTTAGACTAAAACTGGAAGTGGAGTCCAACTTAAAGTTTTCTGCCTGATGCTCTCCCTACTCTCCTTGCTAATATGGAGCCACTGCTTTCTCTGCTTGTGCTGCTTTAGAATTTACCTGCTTTGCCAGTTTTCAGATGTCCGAACATTCTGGTGCAATGCTAGGTAGAAGAAGTCTCTGCCAGTAACAGTGCCTCCAGTTCTGAGGAGGGGACAGGGAGTTCTCACCTGGCCTTTGCACAGCAGCTTCCCCACCTCCCTGGAAGTACAGCATCCGTGGTGTCAGACAACATTCAGAACATGGTCCAAATTCAGTGTATGTTAGCATAGTTTGGCACATGGTTTGTGCAGATAAGTACCCACACACATCTTTCATCCAGCTGTGTGGGAAACTCGGCAGTGGCATGGACTGTGGGATGTCGGTGGCTTTCACTGCACCATCTGCTCTTACTGTCAATGCTTGGTGAATGGAAGATGACATTGCCGCTGTCTTTGGTTCACCTCAAAGAGGTAAAATGAAATTATAAACTCCCTTCAATGGTTAAATTTAGAAGGAGGGAAAATTTTGTCTGGCCCATTTCTTATTCTAACAAAAGAACAGAGGTAATGAATTCCTCTGTATTCAGAGTCAACAGTAAACACAGCCATAGCAATTAACCTGTATTATCACACTATTACTATTGTGTTTATTTCGTAGAGTTTTGTTGACAATTTTCAATTATAATTACCAGTTTACTGTTATGAATAATTTTGAATGAAGATAGCTTAAAACCAAATTAAGTATAGTTAAATCTAATTAAAGCAACTATTTTCAGTTCAGCCACTGATCTGCAATTTTAATATGCATCATCCATCCAGCAAGATGTCTTTTACCCATTTTTCTTCACACAGTGATGTTTTATTACTAAACATTGTCTGGCTCAGCCAAATCAATCATGAAAATGACGT